GCCCCCTCCCCCAATTCTCCATCCCCTTCCCTCCCGGTCTCTGAGGACCCCGTCCTAGCCCGACCCGTCTCGGCCCGCAACCTCCGCGAAGCCGTCGGTGCCACTCCCCGCCCATGTGGGCCCCCGCGGGCTGCCCACGCCTGTCCCCCAGCTCCCGGTTCCGCTGGGCTTTCCCCTCGCCGGGGGTGGCTTTCTGAGCCGCCCGCTCCGTGCCCCTCTCTGCAGCCTTTCCTGCCACTCGGGGCCCCCGTTCCCCCTCCCGGAGGCGGGGGGCTGCCCCCGGGGGGCTGGCGGAGCTGGGCCGCGGGGGCCCCGGGGCCGGCGGTGCCGGGGTCATCGGGATGATGCGGACGCAGTGTCTGCTGGGGCTGCGCACGTTCGTGGCCTTCGCCGCCAAGCTCTGGAGCTTCTTCATTTACCTTTTGCGGAGGCAGATCCGCACGGTGAGCCTGGGTGGGCGCTGGTGGTGGTGGGAACCCGTGTCAGCGGTGCTCACGGGTTTTCGGAAAGTGTCGGGCCTCTGTTTGGGCTTCGGAACGGAGTCCTGGCGGCGGCTTTTCCCGTTCGAGGGTTGGGGCACCCTTGGCTGGGCATGGGGTGGCATGGGGAGGGGGGAGACCCCCGTAGGACAACGGAAATCGGGGCGGGGGGGGGGCAAGACGGAGACTGGATGGGGCAACTCTGGGGGGCCGGGGTGGTGGGTGGGGCGCCGTTTAGGAAAGCTGGAGTTGTTGTTAGAGACCAAGAGGAGGGGCACACCTGTTTGATGGCACCGGCTCTGTCGGCTGTGGGCTTGTGACAGACCCTTCCGTTACTAGGAGCCTCCCTGTGTGTTAGGGCTCAGAACAAGGGACAGACGGGCTTATGTGGCAAGGGTAGGGGTGTGGGTGGGAGACCATACGTGACAAACAGGGGAACAGCCTTGGGTGTGAAGGAGAAACCCCGGCCGTTGGCTTTACGGGGACTCGTCCAAAAAGGGCCCCGGAAACTTATTTCCTGGTGTGGGCATCTGGGGTCACCTAGTCCCTGGGACTAAGGAGGATGGTTTTATGTTGGGCTTTAGGGAAAGGAGCACATTGGTGTTGGGGTGTCTCTCTGGGAAGACAGTGCTTGGCAGTTGTAGGCTTGAGCCTGAGGGCAGGCTTGCCTCTCCAGGAGACCCCAGCTTTGAGAGGGGTCCTGTGGGCAGCGAAGACTGCACGTCCCCAAGTATCTGTGGGTTCCCTCCCCCAGAGAGCTTCTCTCCAAGGTCAGAGCTCCCGTAGGCTAACATCCTTTAGCGAATGTGCTGTGTTCTCACTGCTGGGGAGAATTCAGTAAGCCGACATGCAGAAGTTCCCTGGCCCGTGCTCTTCGGTGTACCTCAGTAATACCTGGAAGGTCCGAGAGTCTCCAGAGAGCCCTGGGTGGTGGTGGTCGTTGTTGACCGACTTGGGGGAGTGGGCCTGCTTCAGATTCAGAGTCTCCTTTAACAGTCTATGCCTTCCGCTTCCTGATTTAGGGTGAGGGTTGTTTCTGGGTGGTCACGGTGGTAGGCAAGGCTATTTCCCCGAAACACATGTGAGGAGCCCGGAAGAATTTGGGGTCAGAGATGCTGAGGTGTGTGTGTGGCTGGCTCCTGGGGTTTTCTCCACATGTCAGCTGCTGTTCTATCTGCCTGGCTTTGCTCCGAGCACGCCCCGTGTGCCCCTGAAATTTGTGTTCTGGAGGCAGGGAGTAGAGCTCCAGCCCCTCTAGAAGCTAGCTTTTGGCAAAACTGCACCGCTCCGGGCAAGCGCTGACCCCACGGCCTTTTGTCTTCCCTTCCTTCCCTTCCAATCTGGTTTCTTCCCCCACCCCCTTGCTGGCAGATGCTTGGAGCATTCCCTACATGCCCAGCATGTGCAACCCGAGATAGCAGGCCAGGACACCCGAGCTGTTGCGGCCTTCATCCTGCTGCAGGGAGAAAAGGGCAGGTGCCTTGGCATTCGGAGGAGAGGGCCCTGTGGCTTGCAAGGGGCGAGGCTGGGGCCTAGGGATGGGGCCTAGGGATGGACAGAAGCCTAGAAGAAGAGAGCAGAGGAAGGGACTGCCAGGCTCGCGGGGAAGAGAACTGAGTGCTAGAAACAGGAGCTTCTAGAGAAGACTCGGAGGAGCTGGAAGGTTGACGTCCTTGTCCCCTGTTGACGTCCCTCACAGCCCTTCATTCACCCTGGCCTTCTCGCCACCCTATCAGTCAGCCTGGTGGGTGGGGCTTCCCAGTGTGCCTTGTCCTGGGTACCGGAATAAGGAGGCAGCGCGGAGGGCTGAGGTTCTCTGCCACTTGTGACTTGGCTGGTAGAGACAGAAATGGACAGGTGGCTGGTTAAAATAGGCCTGGCGGCCACCAGCCAGGGGAACTTAGCTGACCTGAGAACCCCTGGATTCCCTCCTTGCCCTTCATTCCCCTTAGGTACCCAAGGACCTCCTGTCCTGACTCCGCTCGGTCCCCCGAGTGACGAGAGTTGTCACGAAGGATCCATGGGGCGGAAATGTGGGGAGCCGTGCGTGTCTCTGTTCCTTGCAGAGCACAGGGAAGAGGGCAGGTTTTGGGCCGGCCTGCCTTAGGGCGGTCCTGGCGCCACCACTGCATCCGCTCTGATATTAACCACCCACCCTGTGACAGTGTCCCGGGAACGCAGCTGGGACCGGGTGCTCTCGCCAGGTTTTCATTCTAACCTGGGGGACAAATGGCCAAATAAGATAATTCCTAGCAGTGTGGTCTTACACAAGGCATCTAACCTGGCTAAGCCTCGGTCTCTCCGTTGTTAAAATAGACACGATGACGTTGCCGTCATTGTCGTTATTATAGCGTCGTTACCGCGTTCTTGAGGATTAAATGAGGTGATCGTCAGTCACTTCCACGATGCCCCGTATATAGTAAACGTTCCTTTGTCAAGATCTCCCGCTCAAGGGGTCTAATCCTCTCTCTTGCTGTTTTTAGATAATTCAGTACCAAACTGTTCGCTATGATATCCTTCCCTTATCTCCCGTGTCCCGGAATCGGCTAGGTGAGTGTGCTGGCTGGGAAGGCTCCTGTAAGGTGAGGTGGGGCTCAAGGTGTGGGCTGGAGGTTGGTGGGTATCATTCCTGGCTGTTGTGGTCCAGGCCAGGTGAAGAGGAAGATCCTGGTGCTGGATCTGGATGAGACACTTATCCACTCCCATCACGATGGGGTCCTGAGGCCTACCGTCCGGCCTGGAACGCCTCCCGACTTCATCCTTAAGGTGTGTTGGGGTGGGAAGTGATGGGATGGTCATGCCTGTGATTCTGCTCACAACTAGACTTCCTTTTCCAGTCCCAGAGCATATCGTCCTTGTCCCCATCCTCTGGCACCAGCGGCAGCCAGGAGGGAAGCAGGCAGTGGGGGGGGGGGGGGGGGGGGGGGGGGGGGGGGGGGGGCCCTCCGGGGGGCGGGGGGCGCCCCCCCCCCCCCCCCCAGCTCTTCCCTGTTCCTCTACAGGTGGTAATAGACAAACATCCCGTCCGGTTTTTTGTACATAAGAGGCCCCATGTGGATTTCTTCTTAGAAGTGGTGAGTTTGGGGGCACCTGGGGGGCTCAGTCGGTCGAGTATCTGACTTCGGCTCAGGTCATGATGATCTCGTGGTTCGTGGGTCCGAGCCCCACGTCGGGCTCTGTGCTCACAGCTCAGAGCCTGGAGCCTGCTTTGGATTCTGTGTCTCCGTCTCTCTCTCTGCCCCTCCCCGGCTCACACACTCACTCTTTCTCAAAAAAAAAAAAAAAAAAAAAAAAGAAATGGTGAATTTGTAGAAGCTGTGGGGAGCCCTGTGATGAAGGAATGGCGTTAAGGCTCTGGGAATTCAGAGCGGTTGGAGGAAGTACAGGGTGAGGAGAAAATAGGTATGGGCAGTTTTGGAGAAGGGCAGTTGTGGGCCGGTCAGAGGGCGGCTGTCAGTAGCTTGGGTTCATTTGTGGTGCTGATGCAATTCTGTTCTTCCACAGGCTTCCTGATCTTCTGTTCTTGCACCTCTGAATCTTTAAGGGTGTACGGGGCCTAAGACTCTTGAGTTTGGGGGCCTTCAGAATTTTGTGCTCTCAGAGACATCTGATGCTCTTGAAAGGCCTGAAGGACCGGGCTGGAGTCTAGTGAAGGAGAGTTGTGGGTTCAGAGGAAGGATCGCTTCTTCTGACCCCACCCTCCCCCTGATCAATTTCAGGTGAGCCAGTGGTACGAGCTGGTGGTGTTCACAGCAAGCATGGAGATTTACGGCTCTGCTGTGGCAGATAAACTGGACAATAGCAGAAGCATTCTCAAGAGGAGATACTACAGACAGGTAAGAGGAGGCTCGGGAGGCAGGCTGGCAGGGAGGGGTCTGGGTTTGAGCAGTTTCCCCAGAAAGGGACCTTCTGGGGGGCGAGCGGAGGGGTACTGCATGACCCCCTCTGTGGGAGGTGGCTGCCCGTGGGCATTGTTGGGACTGGGCAGCC